AGCTCAGGAGATGCCTACGACGCAATAGGACTATAGTGTAGTTTTATGAGATATTGCAGTTGCACCACTTTCCACTAACCGACCCTGTAGCATGCGTGTTGACAAATTTGAAATTTCTCGTTCTTTTTCCATGCCCCCACCCCCCCCCCAAAAAAAATATGTGCCTTAAACATACACACACACACATTTCCTTTTCTCTTTCTACTCAATGAAATGACTGCTTTCTACTCCACTCCACACGAAAACAAATCCCCCCCCCCCCAAACGCTCCCATTTCATTATATATCCCTCTTGCTTTCCCTTCAAAGCTCAACCTTCCTCTGTTTCCCCTGCTTTCTCTGTTTCTCTCACTCGCACTCAATAAACACATCTTATGCCAGCCTATTTTTCTGCAATTAACTCTGTCTATCGAACTACTCAAAGATGGGTAATTGTTTTGGCCGTTACGAATACTATTCAGGACTTGCCATAGTAGGTGCCATGGCAAAGCAGAGTAAAGTCGTGAGGGTAGCAAAGTTGGATGGGAAGATATTAGAGTTTAGCTCACCAGTTCTTGTGAAGGATGTGTTGAAAAATTTTCCAGGGTTACATCTTGGGGCATCTAATAAAGCCTCGGAGTCAGAGCATCTTTCCCCAGACTATGAACTCAGAGCTGGAAGATTGTATTACTTGCTTAACCCTCAGTGTGATCCCCCTTCAAATGTTTCTTCCACCGGAAACAGAGAGCTGACCAATGGCAGTAAGAGGGTCAAAGTTGTTATAACAAGGAAACAGCTAGAAATGCTAGTGTCCAAGCAGATCTCTTTAGAGGATGTACTGTCCCAAGCCCATGATAGGACTTCTGATCTCCCAAGCAGTTGGAAGCCCAAATTGGACTCCATTCCTGAAGGGTTCGAGTAGCATGTGTAAATATGTCCTTTCTTTCTTTCCTTCTTTTGTTTTCTCTTCTTGCTGTTTAGCCTTTTCTTTTCCTTCTTCCTTTCTTTGTTCCTGTAATTTTGTCCTGTTCTCCTTAGATGACATGGCCATTGTCGTAGTTGAAAGGAGAAAAAGGAAGAAGGAAAGAAAAGGCAAATGTAAAAGCTAGTATAAACTATATGATAAATAGGAAGTTGAGGTCGATTTTCACTTTGCTCACTCATTTTGTATTTGCGGTTTTCATATGTAATTGTGTGTTCTAAGTTTTAACAATGACAGACGGTGGCTTAGTGCTCGTTAGCCAACAAATTCAGAAACAAGAGAGGTTAAAAAGATCAGGTTTTATCATCCCAGTGAAAATTCATCTCATACTCGATGCTCATGTAGCAATTAATACGCCATGTTTACCGCTCTGTTTCATCCTTGCCTCATACGAAGTTGCGTTTCTTATTTTCCAACTGGTTGACGAAAAAGCTCTCAGAAATAAAAAGGTAGATCCGGATCAGAGTTATATTGCAAACTGTTATTTCATCACATGCAGACTTAAATCTTCGCTAAATGCATGTTTAAAGTGATTAACTCGGCTCACAACCACGGAGCACCACAAAACAACGAAGCGACTGTGAACTGGGAACCGGAAGATTGTATAACGCTCAGCCCTCCGCCTCTCAGTAAACTTTCTAGCACAGTATTTGGTTCAGCCAAGGGGAGGCTAATGAAGCGGAGGGAAAAGAAGGGAAAGGATCGGGTTTTAACGAGATCTTGTTTGGGCGGGATGGGACGGAGGAGAGGGCGGCGCTTCATATCTCATGAAAATTCGCCATAACTCTTAACGCTCTGGAAAAGTTTGTCAAGAAATACCGTGTCCCATTTGATACGGCATCCTCCGATCATATTAATGATTATGACTGTTTCATTCCACACCGTCGATCATTGATACTATGATTGCTCTTTAATACTTCCTTCCTAAGGTAGGTTTACCCCTTTCAGCATAGTTGACTCGGAGCTTCTAAAGAAGAAAATGAAGATGTTATTTCCGGGCAATTATTTTACAAACTGTTATTTCCTTACATACACACTTGTATCTTTAAATGCATACTTTGAAAATTAAAAAGACACTCAAAAACACTGTACAATACAAAAGCCTTAGCCTCTGGACCTCACTCGATTTGCACGTCGACGACCTTGCGTTCAACTTTGGTCTTAGGAATGGTGATGTAAAGCACACCATTTTTCAGCTCTGCCGTAACCTTGTCCTTCTCGCAGTTATCGGGAAGCTGGAGGCGAGTATCGTAGGAACTATAGCTCCGGGAGGACCAGGTATCATCTTTACCTTCTTCCATTTTACGACCACCTTTGATGACAAGAACATCGTCCTCCACAGAAACCTTAACATCCTCCTTGGAGAGACCAGGCATGTCGAACCTCATCTTGATCTCGTGCTCTTCCTCTTTGATGTCCCATGGGGCTCGGATTTCACTTGCCCTGCTTCCTGGGATTGTCATGACGTCTTCGAATAGTCGGTCCATTGTGTCCAGCATCTGACGCATGCTTCTCATGGGCGACCACGGATCCAATAAACCTGTATTGGGTCAAGAAGCAAGATCAATTCACATGCTTCGCAATGCATTACCATTAGATTTAGAAAACAGCCAGCTTTGGCGTTTGATTAAAGGAGTAAGAACCAATGACTTTAATTAGGTTTCGTTTCATATTTTTGAAATGATATTTTGGGCGAAATTGTTTTTTGGTAGGATTGAGATTGACATATTTTAAGTATTCCTGTCAATTCGGCTTCACTCTGTTCTCGGTTTCTGCTTCATGCACATTTTATTAATCTAACCACACACAACAAGTCAAGAATGGATGAAATGTCAATAAAAGATGATAATAAAGTGGATGCTAATTAATGATCAAGTAAAGCTAGACACGTCCAGAGGCAATTAACAGCGATAGTAAAATAGCGAAAAAGTCAAAAACTTTTTCTCCTATATTATTCGTTCCTTCTTGTTTTTCTTCTTCCCCTGTTGATTCCAAACTTGGTTGCTAAGTGAAGCAATATATTTCAGATTAAATTCAAATTCCACCCAAAAATAAAAGAGCCAAAAGGGCAAATGGTGGCAGGGTAACAATTGCAGTCAATGCCAACGTGACATCGCTGGAGTTTCACTAATGATGGAAGACGAACTTCTCAGATCCTAATCCTGATCAGTATGTTAATTCGAGTGCACGCATAATTCACAGCTCCATTCTCGGGTGATCAAGGATCATACAATCTTAAACATCTAAACCATTCTAGAGCAAATGAAAGGATGCACGATCACAAAACATTAGTTAACAATAGAAGGAATAAGAAAAAGACTTACCAAAAGGAGAAACATCCATGGCCATCCTGCGAGGCCTCCTCTCCATAGAGGTTTGTTGCTGGCCACGGTTGTCCTTATTGAAGTGAACGTCCAAAGAAGTGTCCTTGTTCTCATCAGAGGCCTGAGCCCTCACCACCCCAAAACGACGCAAAGGCTTCTTCGTAGTCATTGGGAAGTTCGCCAAACAAGGCTTAGTTGCAGAAGGCCCAGCCCCGTGAGATACAAGAGGCGACCAAGATGAGAAGGACACCGCTTGAGCGGCCATTGCGATGCGATTCAAAGAGACTTGAACTGAACTTAATCAAATACTTAGGGTTAGCTGGCTTGACAAAAGAGAAAGACGAAAATGTGAATATATAGAGAAGAAGGGACAGCGAAGAGTGAAGAAGCGTCTGAGGAATTTGAGAGAAATTGCGAAAGTTCTGGACTGGACTCCACAGCTTGTTTCTGGAATGGTCTCTGATTTATTTTTCACTACGGACAAAGGATCTATTTCTCAGAAATTCTCTCGGACCGGGCCACGTGCAACAACTAGTAGCCCTTGATCATGTTATTAGTTTCAATCTCAGTCGTTCATTTGATTCAACCATTTCTTCATTGCACTTTAGGAACAAAAATACGTAAAATAATACTCCTCATGTTCTTAATATAGGACCCAATTATTGAGTTGGTTTTGATCATAAATATAAAACCCATTTATTATATTTATCAATTTTCTCTAAATTATCCATATAGATACTCCCTCAATTATAATTAATTAGAAGAGAAAGAGGGGTATTAAGAAAGATGATTATGGTATTTTAGGAAAAACGTGTCATATTTTTTATAATTAACTAACTTATTCAATTTTTTTAATCTAATCAAATTAGTTAAATGGGTTTTATATTAAGAAGCGGAGGAGTACCATCTTTTAATTGCATCCCATGGACGGATGAAATAAGATATCCCTTCCGGACAATTTAGACATTAATAGCGGAAATATAAATTGACGTCTATTTAATAAACAAAATTTGGAAAAAAAATTCGTTTTTTTTTCTATATCTAAAATGAAAATTCACACACACACACACATATGTACATATACATGAAATAAAATAAGAGTCGAAAGATCAATCATATCAGAATTAAATCCTCTAAAATTGTAAGCTATACTAGATGGTTAATTAGTTAAGTCTGGTAATGCTTGAATTTGATTTGTAATATTAAATAGTATATTAATATAACAAGTAATTGAAAAAAATCAAGATCACAGTTACATATGTAATAATAACTTTGAGCACTTTAATAAAGCATGACAAAAAAAAAAAAAAAGGTGGGAAATCACCTTGACTGGGTAATTCTGTAATTCATCAGTTACAAAAACGGAGGTCATGAGATTTATCAATCTAAACCAAACTCCATGTACTCAAATCAACCTGCTCTATTAGCTCTGCTGGCCAGATGTCTTCATCAATTCAAGGTGAGAGGTTAATTGCATAAAAACTGGCTAGCCCTTCATATGGCAAATTAAAAGTGGAGCAATTTTTGAAGAAAATTTGACAAAAAAAAAATGGCTTATTTTTGTGACAGAGGAAATTTGAAACAAAACTTGACCCCTCATTACTCTTGCTAATTAATTCTAGCAGAGCTAGTTAAAAAGTTAGATTTGATCCTAAATATAATACATTAATTCATTGTATGCCTCATATTTATCAATCACTCCAAACTAAATTATTTAACCTATAAACTGATATATAATCTAATGATATATAAATGTATTTTTCAGAATATGAGGCCATATTTGTTGAAATTAACTAATTTATCTAGACTCTAGCGTTGTTAACTAATATACTTTAGTTAGTTAAGTAATTCTTATATGAAGAACCGAAAGTAGTTCTCTTTAAATATTTAATATAAGAGTTATTTAATTAATTTTTTGGTAGATCAAAAAAGAAAAATAAACTATTTAATTCTAACAAATATGATATAAGTTAAATTAATTAATTTTAAAAGTAATAAATATTAACCATAAAATGAATTAAGATTTTATATTCAGAATTATAAATAACTCTTTAAATAGTTTCCATAGCTAAGATCTGAGGAGTATAAGACTATAATACATGATCTAGACTTATATGTAGATTCTGGTTTGCGCTTTGGGAGTGGAAATATACATACAAATTAAACATATATATATATATATATGATGATTTTCATGAAATCCCGTACTTAATTAGCTCGCTGCAAATAATAAAAGATTTAATTTTGGTATGGGCTTTAAAAGTGGCAGTATAATCATACTTTTTCATTAACTAGAGTCTGCGCTGAGATAAAATATGTTCTGTTATAAATTATAATTAGGCTCCTGGATGGACCGTGCGCTCTCTTGATTTTCCATCTAATTAAACCCTTCTGTTTAGCTGTAGGAAAAAAAAATTATTTAAATTCCCATCAAGGACACTTGGGTCTTGATCCGAACATTTTACGAGTGCATCAAATTTGTAGCCAGATGTGATTTTATTTTTCATATCAATCATTAATCATACAGGAGTGGCCAGTGGGTAGTGGGGACATTACAGAAGCTTGGAGTACACAGACTGGATATATGGTACTGAACTACCTTCCGAGACATATATC